AGATAGATAGATAGATAGATAGATAGATAGATAGATAGATAGATAGACAGACACATGACCTCTGGCCTCTTTAGGGACAAAACATCACTTTTGTTTAGATATTCTAACAGAATACAACAATATTTATGAGTCATGTGATCACCTCACAGCTGTCTCCACGTCCTCCTTGTCAACAGGAAGCGATGAGTTGAGCGGTGATGTTACCACAAACCAAAAGGACACTCTGGGAGTGTCATTACACAGAATGACGTTGGACACACTGTATAAAGTCAAGACAATAACGAGTGTCATCATCACAAACCATGGCCCATGCCTCTGATTATGGCAACTGAAAGACAAAAACTGACAGGAGAAATAAAATATGCAGGAGCTTTCATACCTAAACTCTTGCTCTTTGTGAATCCTCATGGCATAAGCCATAGTTGCTCGGAAAAGGAACTTTTCATTTTCACTCCACTCGTACTGAAATATGAACAAGATCAGATCAGATTATAGTCTGTTGTTAAAGACCTTTAAAGTTTATGAGCTGCACAACGGACTTTGTCCTCAGAAAATGAACATTTAGACAGAAAAATGGAAATCATTCATGGAACAAGCTGCTGTGACAGAAGGTTAGGACACTGTCCAAGTTGTCAAAGATAAATATAGCCAGTTTTATACCTTATGGATTTGTTGTAATGATACAATGACATTGTTTTAATTAGACATTTTATCTGCTTTATTATGAACTTGATACCTACAACACGTTAAAAAGTTGGCACAGAGTCAGTTTACTCATTTATTTACCAGTTTTCATTAAAAACTGTTGGTTTTTTTTTTGTAGATTTGTCTGAGATATGTTTTTTTCCTTGATAGAAAGCAATAGTTCAGAACTTTTGAAGTGGGGTGGGTAAAAGTGATTAACAATAACAATTATCTTACCTGCTGTAGATAACTCTTTGAATGGTTTAGAGAAAATGAGTTTAATTCTGATTAGTACAATAAGCTAATGGTTAGTCCAAAAGAGAAGTACTGCCATATTAAAACAACTGCAGCATCAAAATTTCATATTGGTTAATGTAAATGTTATTTTATAAACTTTTGCTGCTGTTCATTTTGCATTACTCGGCTATTTACATGTATTTCCATGGTTTTTAGCCATCATGAAAATCAGCAGACTCAGCAAGCGGAAGCACTTCCTGCAGGGATATTAAAACGCTTCCACTGAAACCAAGTGTGATGTGAAATTGTCATTTTTGCAAGACAAAGATGTGTTTTTTTAATACCCAGATTTTAATTTCCGAATAATTAAAACAATTCAAAAACACCAATAATAAAAGGAAGTAATTTATTTACTGGGGAAGAGGGGAAAACATGAACCAGTGTTTTTGTCTTTTCTCTTTCTCTTTAAAGTGTCGAGAGGATGAGCGGAGGATTCCAGAACCAGATCAATGATCCGAAGAGGGCGGCCAAGGGACCTGAGAGGTAAGTGTGTCTCTCGATGGAGAGTGACCGGTGGGACTAGAGGCGACACAGCAGACGTTGAACTCAAACAACGCTCACGTAGGAGTAGATACATCGTGGTCCAAGGACGAGACAGATGAGCGTGACTCCTTAGGAGGCCAGGAAACCCAGGCAGTCAGCCCAGTCATTCAGGAGGTAAGACCTAATGAACCAAATGCTCCAGCGCTGGCTTCTGGAGAGATGTCAGCTTAAGTCAGTCCTTCTCAAATAGTGGGGCGCACCCCCCTGAGGGGGCTCGGAGTGATGCCGGGGGGAGCATGTGACCCAGAGGAACATGCTTTTTTTGCCGCAGGGAGTAGTTTTTTTTCTCCCACTTTCTCATTTTGTCACGTGCATTCCAGCAACTGTTTGCTTGTGTCTCTCAGTCTTACTAATAATAAAGTTATTAACAGAATATGACAGTCCTGTCATTTGGGGAGCCATGCATGAACCGTGTCGCTCCCCTCTGCTGCTGAGACGATAAATAAAAAACTCCGACACCTCTGCTGCTGTTTTGATGACGCTCTGGATGTCACTCACAGCATGCATGCAACAAAGCGTAAACTCAAAGTAAGAGGGTTACCTGCACCCTCTTTCCTCTTTTGTGTTGACAACCTTTTTTAGTCTTATCAATGAGTGTGCTCATCAATCCTGACTTCCTCATTTTGATTTTTTTTTAAATCAGCACAAATTGTTTTATTTTTGTTTTGCAGGTCAAAGTGTTTTATATAACACTCCTGAGTTGAAATGTTGCTGATCAATTTGAATTTATTATTATTTATTGATTATATTTAATTTTATTTTTCAGTATCAAATGGTCAAAAATGTTGGATTTAAGTTGTTTTTCAGGCAAATTGATGCAGTTTAAGTTGTTTCTGTTACAGACTAAAAAAAACAACGTTATTAAAGTTATTCTTCATTTTAAGTTGATCTATTCTTTTTTAATGGTAATAAGGACACAATGTTATGCAGAGGTGTACTTATAACAATTGTATAGACAAATGATACTATTTATAACTGCGGCGGAGAGTTGGGGAGGGCGCAAAATGTTTACTTCTTCCTGGGGGGGGGGGGGGGGAAAGAAAAAAATTGAGAAGCACTGGTTTAAGTAGTGGTGTGTGGTTGTCCACTCAGCTGCAGCTGATTCCAATTGGCCCAACCTGTCACTCAGGAGCTGCAAGAAAGGGGATTAGTGGAACAGGCATGAACCATTTGGAATCCTCACAGTGCTTGTCCCTCTTGCCTCTTGGCAAATGAAGTCTCCTTTCTGGACAGGCGCAGTAAAAAGTAGGGATGAGGCTGGTATCCATAATAAAAAAGTGAGGCACCCATGACCTCACTTCAGGTCCATAACCCTCTCAATCCATGTGGTATTGAAAGCTTTTCCCTCATGACGAACATCCAAAATGCATCTTACTGTAAAAGCTGGGTGATTGTTGATTATACAGGGAAAGGGAGGAGGTTAGTAGGAGGATAAAGAGGGCTCTGAGTGACTGGTTTGATCTGTGAGGCATGAAATGTAGGGTGGAGTGTGACAACTTTAACTTCACTGCTGATGGGTTGATCATCCTCTCAATGGGGTAAGGACCAATGAATCTGAAAGTCAATTGATTAGGTGTATCATTGAACTTAATGTCATGGGTGGAGAGCCATACCTTCAGTCCAATGCAGTAATGAGGGGCGGCAGACCTGTATTTATTGGCAAACCTCTTATTCTGCTGCTTTGGCTTGTCGTCACACTCTGCAACATCTTTGGATTGGGTGTTGAACTGAGGGAACTACAATCTCTGTCTCTTGGCTAGAAAAAAGTGGGGATGAGTAGCCAAGTGAGATCTCAGACGGTGATAGTCTAATAGCAGAGGAAGTAAGGATTTTATGTGTATATTCAATTCAGACCAAGTGATTATTCCAAGAGGATAGGTTTTGTTCAATCACGCACCTTAAGGCAACCTCCAGCTCCTGGTTGTGTGGGAGTTCTAAGTCCTTCCAGCCATACTCATTTTCTCCCACAGCTGCAGCAGATAGCAATCAGCCACCTCTACACACCTGACCCTGATTTGGAGGACATCTCTGAAGGAGCATACTGTAAAAGCCTCTGTCAGACATTCAGAGCTGGGCCATTGTCCTTCCAATGGTAAAAGTAATGGACAGCCTCTAATTGTTTCCTGATATTTAATTTCTAAAGAGATCCTGTTTGTACTTTCCTGTAGCGACTTCCTGGTCCTGGAGTCTTCCAGCCTTCCAAGGCCTCTTTGCCCCTCAATACCTTGACTCAGTCTGATGGTGTCCCAACTACAATCCAAATCCTTTAGCTTGAACAATCTACTGTTTGCCTCAACTCAACCTGCTCCTCTCTCCAACAATGCTCAACTCTCTTCAACTAAGGACCTCCTGAAACCTAGAACCTCACAGCTCTCCCCTCTGACTCTTACAAAGACATTTTAGTAAGCACATATAATCATCTTCCACAATTAATTATCCTTCAGCAACATCTTCAAGTACTCACCTTGTCCCTCCTTCCTTTTCAGCCCAGAACCAGAGCACCTGTAACTAAAGACAGCTATTTTTGTACATATGTCTCTGTCATTCCTTCAGTCTGCCACTTGGGGTCAATAAACAACCAATATCATGTTGGGTTGCATCGCTCCAACTGGCCATTTGATTGAGGATGGTAACCTGAAGTAAGACTGGAGGTGGTACCCAGTGAATCACAAAAAGCTTTCCATACTTGGGAGTAAAACTGGGGACCCAGGTCTGAAACGATGTCAAGGGGAATACCATGGATCTAGAAAACATGATCAGTTAAGAGGTCTCCAGGGTGTATGGTAACTTAGGGAAGGGAATGAAATGAGTGGATTTAGAGAAACTGTCAACCACAGTGAACACAACAATTTTAGGAGGAGCGCCGTGGACGAATTCCCATCAACCTGGTGGTGGTGCTCAAGTATCTGACCACCGAGATCCTGGAGCTGGTGGGAAACTCGGCTCGTGACAACGGGAGGTCCAAGATTATCCCCAGGCACTTTCAATTGTCTGTCTGTGGTGACAAGGAGCTCGGCAGACAGCTGGGAGGAGTGACCATCACTCAGGGAGGAATTCTACCCTGCATTCAGGCAGTCCTACTGCCCAGGAGGACCGAGAGGCTCGCCAGCTCTGACAGCAAGCTGGATCTGGGTGAATGGATCGGTATCTGTGGCCAGATTCTTAGGCTTCACTGCAGGAGATCTTTTCTGCCCACAGCTATCAGCATCTATAACTCATTCATTCATTCAACATTTATTTAGACAGACAAGTCACATTGAGCCTAGAAGACTCATTTACAATTTACAAGTGAAATCTGTTTAGACAGCCAAAAAGTAGTGAAACTGGACACATGTAAGAATTGGAGGATAAAAAATTCCTATCAGACTTTTTTTTTTCCCCTGCCTGAGAAGAACAACACTTGAATGAAAACAGGATGCTGAGCTACGACAACACTTAATTAAAGCTGCAAGCAGCATTGGAGGCCCTCGCAACAAAGCGCTGCTCCAGCCTTACGGCGACGGCACAAGCTCCAGCTAGTCCAACCAGTCGCCATCGCAAACGCTCTTGTGCCAATCCCACATGCATTCACCATGGGGTGCATTTCAGGAACCTTCAACATCGCCTTCTGCCTATGTCGTTACTTGTCCAGCTGCAGGTCTTACAAGTATAGTTGAAATCTGACCTTCCAGGCAGGAGTTATGGTGACTTCCTGTTTTGTGGCGAATGTTTGACAGTCACTTTCTTTATGCTTTTCAACATGTCATGTGTGGTAACCAACAGTTAGCAAACAAAGTTTCAGTCTAATATCTTACACAGTGCGAAGCTGAAAGTGTCATCCAATAATCAACTTTTTTTTCTCTGACTAGGTGGGGCTTAAGTGATGTCATGAATCAGCAATACCAATGTGTCTGGACGTGCTCACTGATGAAGCACAAAAACTCAGGTTCAGATCGGAT